GTATATACTGGCGGCGAAGGCGCCTTTAGAAAAATTTTAGGGTCGGTCGGCCAAAAATGGATTTCTTAAAAAGTACCAAAGGGGGGACCCTTTGGGTTGGCAGGGGTTCGAATCCCTGAGGGGGAGAGGCGTCCGAAGGACACAACCCCCCCCCCCCCGCCCCTCCCCTAAATCCGCCCCTGCTAGTGACAATTTTGTTTCCTAGTGATAGACATAAACTAATTTCATGAATTGTTATTACTCAGATGGGTTTGTACACAGAAATATGTTTTGTTTCTGTAAAATTTTGGTTTCGAAAAAGCAAGAAAAATCCTAAGTGTTAATGCATTTGAAGTGACCTTAAAGTCAGCCGAAAGAATTATTCTCGCAAAATTTTTAAGAGAACGATTATATTCTACACTGCGAATTCAAAATGAATGCCTGGTTCTTCTTTGAGTAACATCCCAAACAAACAGACGGTTCTTAGAAGCCCTCGTCCTTTTTCAAATAAAAAAATTCTTCCTATTCTATCGGTTCTGCTTAGCTAAATCTTGAATTTTAATCATCGGTAAGTTTTTTGCTTGACGATTCATTAAAAAATTGAATCGAAATTTGATGCTCAAAAATTGATTTGTGTTTTCTAAAAAGTAATTCCAAAAAACGTAAATATTGAGCCGGTTAACAAAAGTTGTTCAACAGACAAATTCCATAAGTTCAAATCGGTACTCTTCATTTCACATTGCATTTAAATTCAAGGACAATAGTGTTTCATTTGAACTCGTTGGTTGTGCCCGCACTGAAGTGTCATGTATAATAATTGATTTATTTGGAGTTCTATATGTCTCTGTAAAGTTCAATTCAAAGTCAATCAATTAAATTCAATAACAAGACTGCTTTTAGCGGGGCAAAGGCTTAAAATTTTGGTTCTTTTTCCTTCCCTCCGTACCTGCAAACTTTTACAAGCAAATTTTTTGCTCAAATTGCCTCATTGTTAAAGAAATTTGACATTCAGACTAATTAGGCCTAGACGAACATATTTGGTCTTAATAATTAACCTTTTTAAATGACTCATTCAAAATAAAAATGATGCTCGGGTGGAGGAAAGAGAGTCGATTATTTTGACCTTTTTAAAGCTTTGTGAAGTCGTAATTGCCTAAAAAGATTAAAACAAAGTTTTTAACACAAAGAGAAAAAGCTCTGATTTTTTTCTTCGAAAACCTTCCCCCACATTTTATGGTATGTACAAAATGAAATATTTTGGTTACATCAGAGCAAAAAATAGACCAATAGGATGCCTCAGTTCAATTGGGAACGATTTCTGAAAACGGATTAAATCGCCACTTATGCGCTAGAAGCACGAAATATATCGCTCGTTGATTTTACTAAGTCGGCACTTTGTAAATGACATAACTTTTTCAAACATTATTGCTTATGAAATATCCTTTCAAATTTGAGCTCGGGAGAACAAAATTTTGCTGAAAAAAAAGAATTACCTTAAAAATTGGCTGACTAAAAAGTTGAATTTGGTCTGAGAAAACCACACGTGTTCTTTCAGTTTCGCCGAATATCAGATTTAAGTTTGCATTTGAATCAGATTGCGTTTCCATAAGCGAGTATAAAATTGTATCATCCATTTTGACTGGCCAACCTCAAAAATTTTCTAAAGGAGCCCTGGCCACCAATTTAACGAATTTTGATGTGGAAGCGCCGCGAGAAAAAAAAACCTCCAAAAATTGATTAAAAACGCCTATTTTGGCCTGCTTGTTGGAAGATATGCCTGTAGCGCAGAAAAAGTTTGTCAAAATAAGGTTTTGAATTATTTTTCGGATAGCTCGGAAAATCAAAATTGTCAAACTCAGAAAAAAGGCTCCAAAATTTTCAAAATTTCTGCTCACGCCACTTAAATGGATTATAATTATACTTTTTGTACCTAACATTTTGAAATGTAAATTAGCTTACTTTTTTCCATAGCGTTTTTAACGTATTTTTGTTGTTGTTTGATTTCAGTTTTTTGCCAACACCGTGGTAGAGCATGGGGCATGGGGGCGTAGTCACTTGTGAACATGGATGAATGTTTTTTTTCGTAATCAAGTTTTACAGAAAAATAGAAAAAGAATAGTGATTATCTACAAAAAATAAACAATTTTTGTAGTATATTTGGATTTTTGGTCAAAAAAAATAATTATTTTGGAAACAAAAAAAACAAACTGAATACTATGGATTATAAAAAAAATTTCATTAAAAATCACATGTGATGTAAATTTGCTTGGCATTCTGTCATCAAAATTCCAACCATGAAAAAAAAACTAAAATTTGAAGTAATTTTGGTTAGGCGCTCAAAGGAATTTAATATCAGAAAGGACCCTCCTGCCTCACAAGAGCAATTTTATAGTTTAGCTGTGTTAACCATCATAGACCGAAAATGCTGGTCATACAATTCCATTAACTAAGTTTATGAATAATATTAGTCATGCAAATTTCATACATTTTGGTAGAAAAAGATCTCCAAATTTTCAATTTTTTTTCAAAAGTTTTTAAACGGCCTCAAAAGTTTCAAAATTCATACGTTTTGTTAAGAAAAAAAATCTTCGAATTTTCAAAAATTAATGCATTTTCCTTTTGCTAGGAACGAAAGCCCACCCCGAGAAAAACTTCTGCCCACGCAACAATGATGATTTATAATGGAGGTCGGGTTGGTGGTGTTTGCGGAAGAGCGGGGAATGAATATCGGAATATGTTGGGGATGGGAGGGGGGTTTCTGGTTAGGGTTGGCGTAGGTGGAGAACTTTCGTCTGGGACGAAAAAATTGACATTTGAAGTACCTTTGGTTAGGAGCTCAAAGGAGTATAATATGAGAAATGGACTCCCAGCTCACGAGTTTTTGTACTCAATTAAAAACTTTTGGAACTTAAATTTCTGCATGAAAAACTAGTTTTGGATGCTCAAAATTGATTTTTTCCATTTCTCATGATATCTTTATTAAAAACGTTCAAAAGGCTAATTTTTGTATGGTATCATTTTGTATGCTTTGATCAATGTTTGATTAATTGAATACTCATATTATTAAAAGTACATCTCGAGAAATGCTAAAATTGTTTATGTATGCTGTGATCAATGTCTGCTCATTTAAAAATTCATCTTCATAAAAATAATCATCTTTGAAAAATTTTGCCAAAATTTAAACGCTTGGTAGTTTCGTTTTTTTACAAATAGGTTATTTAAACTCTGTGAAAAATGATCACAGGTGAAAAACATTTTTAGTATTAACGTCAGGACAACAAAACTTTTTGAATGATTTTTTATAAAAACTTTTCAAAAAATGGTAATTAAGAGTTGAAAATTGTCTGGAATAAAGAAAACCAAACCAGAGTGCAATTATTTTTGTTTTCTCCAAAAGTCGAATAAAAATAAATTCCAAAATTATTATCGAAACACACTATGAACTTAGATTTTTTTGATTATTAAAAATGCAATAACTTTATTTGAAATCCTAGCGTGGTATAACTTTTTTGTCTAAGTTACTGCAATAAGTTACTAAGTTTTTGTCTATGGAAAATTACTGCATCAAAAATGAAATGTTTTAAAATCAGTTTTTCAATTATACGTCATTCGCTTAAATTATATGCGCTTAAAACGTTGCTAATGCTAATGAAAAGAAAAAACTGAGAAAAATTTTCCTTAATTTATTTTTCATACCGCGGAAACATTATTTTCATCCCAAAAGTTTGCGGTAAAAAAATATCCGTAAGTGACTATTGCTCACTATAGTTATGATGCAGATATTTCTTGAGTACAAAAGTTTTATGGAGTTTCGAAACAAAAATAATTTTAAACTAAATTAATTTTGTCGAGATTTGGATGAAGTTTACTGCCATGCTAAACTTTTGGTCAACGTTTTATTCAATTGTAATAATGTTTTTCTGCCGTAAAGAAGGTTAATCTTTTTAAAATTATTTTATTCATCTAAATAGTCTACCGCAAATCAATTTCCAAACAGTATATTATCTGAAACAAATTCGATTTATATGAATTTCAATCTCAAGTTTGTCCGAGCGGGTTGAACGTTAGTATTGAAGAGGTTGATTTTAATTTCTAGAAATTTCTCAGTGGAAATGTGTTTGTTTATTTATTTGTCCTACTTTCTCTCATTTTAAGCTTTTTTAAGAATCGAAGAAAATTAAAATAGATTGCTTTTAGGCTCTTTAGATCTGCAGAATAATTTATGCTTGACACTTTTTTGACAAATTTAACCCAAGCTGGATCAATAAGTACAACTTGTTGTTCGCTGGGAAATCTGATAATTAATTTCTTTTTTCGAAAATAGAAGTCGATCACGTCTTTTATTTTCTGCGAATTTTTTGTGATCTTAATATATTTGCTGTTCGATAGTGGAGTTTGCCTTCCTTTTAACAAAAGTAATGAAGTGAACTGGTAAAAAAACCAAAAGTCAAACCGCGAAAAATCAAAACTGAGTGTGAACAAATTTTAAGACTTTTTCCTGAAAAAAAAAACAAAAAAAAATCACCAAGATCTATATAAGAGCATTCAATACCTTCTATACTCTTCAAAAAATAGTTATTTGTTTTCTGCTCCTTGCGTATGTTAACTTAAAGGGGGAAAAATCAAATTTAAACCGTTTTTCAGGTGCGTTATTAGAAATTCGTCTCGAGATATGGTGGGCGAAGACCTGGGACATACATAAACCAGTTTTTGCAAAAGGCAAAGACTTTTAAATTAGGTCTTTGGTGCTGTGAAATATCTTTACAATCAATATCAAATGAGCAGAATAAAAAGTTCGGAATATGTTTGAGCACCAACCAGACCTGAAAGTATGTTTGTTTTGTTCGTTAAAACAGTTTGTCACACTGCAGAAAATTGATGCAAAATGTTGCTTTATTCTACTTGAGTTTTTGGCGCTATAATCGGTTGAATGCGTGGACACGCCGTGAACACCTGTTGATTCAAAGGTTGATCAGTGATGCGTGATCGAGTTGGATAGAATAGTTCCATATGGAAGATACAAACGTGATCATTTATTGTTTCATACCATCTACGCTTGCAAAACAGATGAACATACCCGCCGCTATCTCTAGAAGTCCCTCATTCAGCGCCATAGTCGGCCGAACAAAAGGGAAATGTCCCATAAATCACAATAAACATATAATTTGTGCCATTAATCACAATTGAACTGAGATACCAATGGGACATCCCATCTTAAAAAAATAACAAAAGAGTCATATTCAAAATTGGCTTCAAAATCATCATTCACTTAACTCTAATTATAGAAATTAAAGAGCTTCTTTCTTGATAGTTCTTAATTATTTCTACTTTTTATTTTCTTTTCTGAGTTATAAAAGTTTTAACTATATCGGAGCATCATTCAACTGCATCTGTTGGCGTTTAAACTTTTTGAAGTATTCGCTGGTTGATTTCGAAGTATTTTCCTAAAACATATAAAATATACAAAAAGAAACTCACTTGTAACATTTAGTTCTTAACAAAAGGTCACTAAAATATTCCTGTTTTTTTTCTGACCATCACTTCATCAAATAACTTTTCAGCAATCCAAAATGTTTTAGATTGATTTTAAGACCTGCCATTCAACGAAATTCACATCTTGAAACTCAATTGAAACCCTTTTTTGATAGCCGGTTTGGCTAAATTTCTAACCCTGGACCGAATATGACCCTACTCGAAGCTTTCATTTAACTGACTGTTAGCTTATTCTCAATCTTTACCCTCCTAAAAGCATAGTAAATTAATCATTTTCTTCCGTTCAGTGTTAACTCGAAACGCGTGAACACGTTCTGATCTCAGGTAACTTCTCGTGAACTCCTGTGACTTTGTCATAAAATCTCGCAAGTTCTCGTGACTTTGACCTACTTGTGACCTCTGGTGACCTCTTGTGACCTCTTGACCTCCTCTGACCTTAGTTGTGCACTGGAAGTGTGGCCATGAACTCGGAGTACCCCGATGATCCTGTGCTGCGTGATCTGACCGACGAAGAGATTGGGGAATTCAGGGAGGCTTTCCAGCACTTCGACAAAGACAGAGACGGAACCATATCTACCAAAGAATTAGGTAGGGTCAGAACGATCGGGATCAGCGAAGGGATAATGGGCTCTTTTCCAGTTCCCCCCTTTGAGTTTCTTTTCATATTGAAAAATATTACTTTTCATATTGAAAAAAAGCATTAAAACGTGTCAGCATGAACAGGTGAACAAATTTACACAAAGTTAAAAACATGCAAAATGCCGTGTGAACAATTTTTGATCAGCTTTTTTTTGCTTTTTTACGAAGGGGGTGGGAAAGTGGAAAAGAGCCGGATGATGGAGAGTGAGGGGGGGGGGGGGGGGTTGATTGATTTTGACTTATTTTAAAGGCCAACATTGAATGACTCATTATTTCCGTTTAATGATCAAAATGATTGTTTTATTATAGTTTATACTAAATTTTGGCAATATCTTTTTAGAGAACGAATCTGAACAAAATTAAGTAATTGAAAACCGCTCTTTTGGTGTCGGAAACAACTTTTTTTTATTTGATCTCGTAAAAAACGTATCAAAAGTATGATTACCCTGGAAATACTCCACATAATATAGACCTTCATTTTCACATAATTTGTCTAGTGACGATCTTCCAGACTGTTATTTTTTTGTATGATCATTTATAAAAATAAATTTCATGAATATGGACCTATACTTAAAGCAATTCATTATCTTTATAATTTTTTATTACTAGCATGATTAATTATAAACTGTAGTTTTTTACTGTCCAGGTGTGGTGTTGAGGAGTTTGGGTCAGAACCCGACCGAGCAGGACTTGGCGGAGATGATTAACGAGGTGGACGAAGACGGTGAGTCTAAAAGAACATATTAGAAAAAGGTGCTGTTCACAAGTATTGTCAAAAGTCTTTCTTTGAAAATAAATGGGCTGAGGTCTTTTCTGTTCATTTTCATGAAGCGAAGATATTTGAGATATTATAGACACTGAGACATCTTTTACAGAAAAATTATGCCCCATAATTTTTGCGGGCAAGCGGTCCCCCCTTTGAACTATTTTGAGATATCCATTCTTGGCTGACGGACCCTAAATTTTTCTAAAAGCGCTTTTGGGGCCAATATATACTAGTTTTCAGGGGAGAGCGCGCGCAGAAAAACGAATTTTTTGGTGAAAATTAAAAAAAAAGCCTAAAAACGTTTTTTTGGCCATTTTTTTCAAAGTTTTGCCTGCGGCCCAGAACATTAGGCCAAAACAGGAAGTTTTTATTGCTTTGGGAGAGCCCGAAAATCAACTTGGTCAACCTAAAAACTAAAAAAAAAACTTCTCCATAATTTTCGAAAGTTTTTGATAATCCGCCCCCGTGAATTTCATTGAAAATGAGATTAGATGCAACCCGAGCTTATTTAAAATTTTAAGTCGGGTATAATAGGTGATATTTAAAAGGTGACTTTGTTATTCCGCTTTTCTACTATCTGTGATTTTTTGATGTTAATTTTCAATTCTTAAAAAGGCACTTTTTGTTTTTGGTTTTTTGAATATCACTTTAAAGATATCGCCGTGTTCAAAAAATACAAACTAGAATGAAATTGAAAATCACAAAGAATTACAAGATTAGTCAGTTTTTTTTAAAAAACATTTGCAATTATTATTTAGTAGCTGCAAAGTATGGGCATTTTCCCTTGATAAATTTTTTTATAGCAATCAAATAGATTCGAAACCCACAGAAATTTAATCTTGGGCTAAAAGACTTAACAAAAACTAAGGTTTAATTAAACGCATAGTAGTTTTGAACTGTTGACATGTAAAATTAGAAACCTTATTTGAAACAAACAGAAATTTCAAATTTGCGTAAGATCAGTCACTTAAGAAACAGTTTAACATTATTGCCACGAATAAAAACTTTTAAACAATTTTTTTTGGATTCAATGTTCTAATTTTTCAGGTTGCGGTTATCATATATTCGTTTCAAACAAAAAATCAACAATATAGTTTATTGTAGACTTTTTTGTTTGAAACGAAAATATTATACGGTTATCATATATTCGTTTCAAAAAAAAAGTCAAAAAGAAACTTTATTGTTGACTTTATGCTCGAAACGAAGATATTATAACCGCAATCTGAAAAATTAGAATATTGAATCCAAAAAAATTTCAATGTTAAATTGTTTCTTATGTGACTGTTTTGATGGTTGCTGATGAACACGGGAAGTTTTGAAAGCTGTTTTTATTCGATTTAATTTAATTGATTCGCATTTGATTAATTGAAAATTGACCTTAAAGGTTAAAGTTGTCATTTTAGAATAAATTCGAAACTGTGCGCCACTTGTCAAGTTAGCGCATAGTCTTAGTGTTCAGATCGTGCCACAGAAAATGAACGGAAAGAACTATGAACAGTTTGTGTGTTTTTTGCGCGATATGATGGCCTCAACAAAAGATCGAAATGATCAAGTCTAGTATCGTATTAAAGTCACATTTTTCGTAATTGGGTTTCTAAATCTCAAAATGTCGTCACATTGCCATGCAAAGCTTTGAATTTTTCCCTTGTTAAGTCAATTTTGAGAAAGCTTGGTAACATCTGATTTTGTGTGTTTGCGCCCAATTTGATGACCTGAAAAAAAGATAGAAAAACTAGATCACGTCTAGTATCATAATAAAGTCTCACTTTTTGAAATTGGGTTTACACAACTAAGAAATTTATCACAGCATAATGCAAAGGTCTGAGTTTTTCTATTGGTAAACAAAACTTGAGAAATCTTGGCCAGAAGCTGACCTCCCTTAATAAACAATAATTGTATCATTTTTGACTTGCAGTTACTCCATTTTCTATTTTTTTCATTTGATTCAATCGCAATTTTTTGATTAAAAGAGAAAATTTAGCCAGCCAGCATCGTTTTTCAGGTATTTTTTATGGCTGATTGCAAATATAACCAACAGCCATTCGGAAAACTTCAATCAAAGCAAAAAGACTGAAAAAAGCTATTTCAGTTCAATAGCTCAATAGTTCAAAATACAAATATAAATGGACTTTTGACACTTTTGACACAATTGACAAATTGATAGATAATAAACATAATCCATTATGAGAAGTGAATCAATGCGATTGTTTTTTAAATACAGCTGTGAAATTTCGAAATTTAATTCCGTTTTCAAAACAAATTCATATTCGTTTTTTTTGCGCTGTTAGCTCATTCGTAATTCTAGAGCGTAATTATACTTCCCTTTAATTATTGCATCTGAGTTAATTTTTTTAAAAAATAAATGACAATGCAAAATTTCAATTTTTGGTAAACAATTTTGAGATATTCTACTGCAAAAAATAGCGAAAAAAATCATCACGACCTAAATAAGTATCTAAGTAAATTCTTTTATTTTAAAAAAAATTAAAATGTCCCTGTAGAAGCACGCCAGAGTGTTCTGAACAAATATATCATCTGGAAACAATAGCAGGTTTCTGTGCACAGATAGTTTCAAACACAGAAAAAAAAATCAGTTTCGTTTTTTTATTGTGTCGTTTTTCTAAGTATATAAATTTTTCGGTTTCTTTTGCAGAAACTCTCTCTGATTTTTTTTACTTTAAGGTGCTGAAAGAAAGTATTTTTGTTTTGATACATTTTATATTGACGCCTTATAAATCTCTATATATATCCCATATATAGAACATATATATCCTGACCTTGTAGATATAACATTGACAAAATAGAAATCCTTTCAGGATCAAAATTGACAAGAAGTGAAGACTCGTAGGTTTTAAGAACAGTCTTTCAACAATTTGAAAAAAAAGTAAGCATACTGATTTTGTAAGTACAAACAAGTCAAAAGTGAAAAAATATACCTGTTCAAATGTCTTTTTTGAACCGGCCTATGGAAATATTTCGAAAGTACAGAAAAAACACTGGCCTGGTTAGTATAATCATGGCAATGAGGGAAAATATAAAAATAGTTCAAAAGAATAGTTTTGTGGTGTTGTGTTAGGCAATGGGACTCTGGAGTTCAAGGAGTTCCTGACTATGATGGCTGTGCGGATGAGCAGTCAGGATGCGGAGCAGGAGATCAGGGAGGCCTTCAGGGTATTCGACAAGGACGGGTCAGGCACCATATCCTCCTCAGAACTCAGGTACAGCATATAACTACGCTTGGACTAAATAGTTATGACATATTTGTGAGTCTCCTTAACTACCCCCCCACCCCCTACTTTTGCAAAAGGGGAAGATTCGTTAGGTAGATGTTATGTTTATTTGGGTATCTTCTCAAAAGATAATTTAGCTGAATTAGCTGTTTATAATAGGGGCAACAACTAGTTCGTTACTAGGTATCATAAGGGCATGGGGGAGAGATAGTTTAACAATCCTATTCATGACTACAATTACATACTTTTAATCTGATAAAGAGATGTAAAAAAAGTACAACAGACAAAATTAAATTGAAAAAGCAAGTGTTTCACAAAATGGTTGCTAGTACAAGCTTTCTTTCAAACCGAATTTTATGTCTCAAGTTCACCTGAAATTTGAACTTACTCGCAAAAAAAGATCAGAATCGAGGATTAAGCAAAAAAGGACAGTCGAAAACCGATAATTTTTGAACTTCTGCTTACATCTATTTCACCTAGCAGATATATTTGATGTTTGTCGGTCGTAACTCACTTCTATCAAATGGTGTCAAATTGGTCCGTGAATTTGAAAAAAGTTTAATATTTTAGTTTTTTGGATTAGTGGCTCTTTTTGTGTGTGTAGGTACGTGATGACTAATCTGGGAGAGAAGTTGACGGACGAGGAGGTGGACGAGATGATAGCCGAGGCAGACATAGACGGGGACGGGGAGATCAACTACGAGGAGTTTGTCAAAATGATGACCTCCAGGTGACCCCCACCCACCCCCTCCTCACACTCCCCGCACAAACCTCAGGTCACACACATACACACACATACACACCCACAGGTCACGTGAGGACATGATGTCTGAAGTCACGTGGACGCCAACAGTCACGTGGTCCTGACTGCATATCTTCCATCTCATGCGAATAAACAGAATCAGGGAAGCGAGGACTAAGAAGGACGTCTACTTGGCAATCAATAAATAGTTAATGATGATGGAATACAAAAACGCAACAAAGTAAAAATAGTTTCTTTGATATCTTCTTGTCAAATTTCCCATGTCACAAGGGGGCTTAACAATAAAATTGGGGATTATTTTTGGTTATACTCCCCCTATTGATTTATTAAGCACCTCAAATTTTCAAAGCCTAACAACGAAGCAAGTGTGTACACTTTCCGACACTGATACAAGGGGTACGGCTGGTATTTAGAGTGTCCAGGTTGGCCTGCTGCTCAAAGAAAAGTTAACAAAAAGCTACCTCAAAAGGGTATTAAGAGAATAATATATGAGACCATATTCCACACTTTTTGGCAATTTGCTTGATTTCTGGAAAGATTCCAGTAGGAAGTAGTCGGACAGTCAGTAGTTAAAGTATCCTAATGGGAATTTGCAAGAAGATCCAATCACTGCCTTGGTTTTAATTAGTTTCAAATCATTTTCGTTTATTAAAGAAGGAACTAATAAGTTTGAAATGCTAACAGAGGTATGAGGCCTAAAAGCTCGTCATTTGTAAAAAGCCTGAAACTTCAAACTGTATAATTCAGTTGTCCGTATTCTAACAGCTAAATTTAATTCAAGTTTTTGTACAAACTCAAGATAAATCATTGTATATAATTTCATAATTCAATTCCGTTGCACTAAAATAAGTTTTTCAAAGGAAAAGGAGATTTGATATGTTAAGATAAGGACTTAAAAAAGAAAAAGACTGCCGGTATAACGGCAAATTTTCAAATGTTCCGAATGCTTTTTAAGCTCTATGGAATACTGTTCTCTTACTTTAAAAAATGAAAAAACTTTCAAAAAAAATTGTAATTTTTTCTATAGTTTTTTTCTAAACCAACTCACCACAGGCTATCTTAAGTACAAAGTGATATAATTCGCATATATCATAGTATTGAATAGACCAAAGAGCTTGCCTCAATTCAATTTGGAGCGATTTCTAAGACAAAATAAATCTTCGCTAAAACGTCAACAAGACTGCTCGTATCAGGAGGGCGAAGCCCTGACTGTTCCGACTGCCTATTAAAGTTTATAGAGCAGTAATAACATTAAGAAAATTAAATGAAATAAAACAAAATGAAAAATCGTTTTTCTTCCAAAATTTGAATTTTTTCTCCCACACGCCATATAAAGTACAAGAGGATAGAATTCGCTACTTGTAACAAATCAATTATGGCAAATAAGCTTCTTTCAACCAATTCGGAACATTTTCTAAGAGGGATTAACTCGACGCTTACGCGCTAATAGCGCGAAATATATCGCGCGTTAATTGTCCCAAATTGACCAAAATGGCAATCTTTAAACCCCCGCAACTTTACGAAAAATGGTCACAGTTAAAATATCTTTTCAAATTTGAGCTCAGGACAAAAATACCTTTCGAATGATTAAAAAAACATTTTGTCAAAAATGGCTAATTAAAAGTCGAAATCGGTCTGAAGAAAAAAACCCACCCCGAGCACAAATACTCCTTTATTTTCGTATCGAAAGTCGGAACAATAACATATATGTCGCACGTTTACTATCCAAAATTGACTAAAATGGCAACTTTAACAACCGCATAAGTTTGAATCAAAACTACAGGTGAAAAAGTTTTTTGAATTTCAACTCAGGACAACAATTTTTTGATGAAATAAACTTTTGTCAAAAATTGCTAGTTTAAAATTGAAATTAATCTGAAGAAAAAAATCCAAATAGATTCCAAAGTATTCACAAAGAATCCAAAGTATTCACAAATATTCAATCGTTTTTTTTTCGGAAATCAGAACAACAAAAGTGCTCGCATAGCAAGGCGGAGCACCGAATATCGTGACTGCTTTTTAAAGCTAACAATATTGTTTTTGGTTGATAAATTGATCGAATAATTGACACAAAACGGAAAAAAAGATGTTTTTTTTTCTGAAAGTTTCGACTGCCGTTTAAAGTCAATAAAAACGCTGGTTAAAACAACTAAAACAATTAGAGAAAAAAAAATACATTCTTTGCTCTATTTTCCTCTTCCTTCCAACCTCCATACGCTATGCAAGTCATGAAGTGTTAATTTTTGAGTATGATAACAAATAACCATAGCAGACTGCTTGCCCCAATTCAGTTTTGAACTGCTTAACTAGCCATTTTTTGTTTCTCGGGTTGACCTCCATACACCAAAAATACTTATCATAAAATTCCCTTCATATAGTGTGTGGAAAAATGCTTGTCATACAGCTTTCATACGGTTCGAAAAATGGTTCAAAAAAGATATAAATTAATTTCTGCGGCTGTTCGATTCTAATAAAAACAGTCTGGTGATAAAGAAAGCGAGGTTTTCGTTTTTGAAAAAACTGCTTACCATACAGTTCCCATATATTTAAAAGTTATGAATGCCATTTTTTTGATAGCGACACGAAAATTTTTCCAAGTTATTTTGAATTTGCCCCAAACAATTTTTTTTCAAGATCAAATCACTTTTTGTATGCAAACAAACATTTTTGAAAAAAAAAATCCTATTTCTTCTGTACGGTGTCTTTATGTTTGCCTTGATCAATATCTGCTAATTGAAAACTTCAATTTTTTAAAAAAAATTATCGTTGAAAAGCTTTGTCAAAATTTAAAAATTTTGTACTTTCCTTAAATCATTTGTGAAAGACAGCTCTAAGACAATTCAGGTCATGTTCTATGCATTGTTGATGCGAGACCGTCCAACTTTTGGTGCTTTGAGTGTCACTTGTGTTTGGTTACAAACACAAACCAATTTTTTTCAAAAAAATTAATTTAGAGACAAAAAATCAGTTTTTTGGCTTGTGGAAAAACACCTATCGTACAATAAACAATTTTCTGTACGTATGGAATTGTATGAAAAAGTATGATAAGAAATTTCTAATACATGGAAATTGTTTGAAAAGAACTTTTGGTCAACCCGGGTTTTTAGGACAAAATACATCGCGATTTAATTATTCCAGTTGAATTTTGAAATTTAGTGTAGTCTCAAACTCCATTATTAACAAAAATTCTAATAAAGATTAAACGTGAAAATTTTTGTTATTTTAAAGCCATTTGCATCAAAATCTCGTAGGCCGTATAAAATTTTAATTGAAAATTTCAAATGTAAAAATCGAAAGTCTAGAGAAAAAATCTCTCCGTGTACAAATATTCTTCCTTCAAAATTGGAAAAAAAGCGAGCGATTGGTCACCTATATATATCACAAAAAGGAAAAAAAACTGTTTTTCTGAAAGTTTCTACTGCCGTTCAAAGTCAATAAAAACGTTGGTTAAAACAACTAAAAAACGTTCTAGAAAAATAAGAACAAACTACATTTTTTTGCTCGAGTCTTAAAAACATGATTTTAATTTTGGTCAAAAAATGCTGGTCGTATAATTTTCATTTATGAAAATTGTATGATATGCATTTTTTTTATAAGCAAAAACACAAACTTGAGGTAAAAATTTTTTAATCCATTTTTTTGTTGCAAACTTGCTTTTGTGCAGAAACAAAATTTTTTGCGAATATTCTGGATAAATTTAAACTGAAAAAGAAGTCAGGGAGTGCTAATTCGTGTGAAAACAATTTTTAAACCACAATCAGAATTCAGAACTTCAAACCTTAGCTATGCTGTTTAATTTGGCATTTGTTGGCTTAAGTGTGATTATTCACTGCGTTGATAGAGAGGAGAAATTGCTCACATGGCGACTTTTTTACCAGGAGAATAATTTGCTGCAGTTGTTTTTTTTTTTGCTTTTGTTTTTTTTTCCTGTAGAGTTGTTGATTTGAATAAAAACAAATTATCACGAAGCCTTTTGCGATGGAAGTTTAAAAAGAAACAGCATGTTATATTCAATCAAGCTTATTTTAATTGAGGTTATATCACGTCCTCCTAGAGACTTGCGACAATGTAATTTTGACACACTGATTTTGCTTAAGCTCTTATTTCTACAAATTCTTCTAGCAAAGTACCCATTGAAGCACTGAAAGTGAAAACTTATAGAAGTAGCTCAAAAAATGAATTTCACATTTATGCGTGTTGTGAAGCCTTATGTACACAATTAGCAACGTATATTTTTGAAGCTGAATAAGTAGAATGGAGGAATCATTCATAACGAATTGATAAATTAAGACAAAAAAACTGTGTAAAACTTCACCTTTAAATATTGGGCCCATTTCGCCCATTTTGTGTCCAAGCGATTAAACGGTGAACAAGCTATAAGGCGTACCCGCACCGGAGTTCCATGGATAATAATCGATTATAATGGAAAAATGTTGTCTAAAATGTTGTCATTATAATCCATTATAATCCATTATAATCCATTATTGCGGCAAATTTAGACCACGTAATCGATAATGTGGTCATTAAAATTGATTTTTTTGAAAAATAAAAATCCATTATAATCCATTATAATCGATTATAATCCATTATTTTTGTCACTGAAATCGATTATTTTTGCCGAAAAAATCCATTATAATCGATTATTTTGAAATAAAAATCCATTATAATCCATTATAATCCATTTCATTTTTAGAACTAAATTCGATAATTTTTGCAAAATATTGCAAATTTTGCAAGAAATTTGCAGAATTTGTGCCATGTCTTTTACTACATGGCATGTCTCAACGTCATCCCCTCGCCCCCTCAGCTAAAGGGGTAGGGTAAATGGTGGGAGTGGAAGTAAGCGGGAGGGGGGTAGTAAACTGGTGGGGGTAGTAAACTGGGGGCTTAACTGGGGGGTGGGCGGTAAGCGGTAAACTGGGGGGAGGGGGGTGTCTCGGTAAACTGGGGGGGGGGGGGGGAGTAAAAAAACTGGGTTAAAAAAACTTATAATCATTATCCATGGAACTCCGGTGGGGGAAGCTATGAAAATTTAATTCAAACCCCTGAAACTTTAGTTTTATTAGGGTTTTGGTTAAAAAAACAGTGAAATGAAGTGTTAGTTAAACTGCGATGAATTAAAAAAAAAAGTAGAGACAAAAAAAATATTAATTTTATTCTGAAAAGTAACATTTTACGAAACGTAATTCGTAGCAACTGCACTAAAGAGGAAATGAGATAATTTTGAACAAAATTGTAAATTTCAAGAATAACCCCTCGAAAAAATCCAATTATAATTGATTATAATCGATTAAAATTGGATTATTTTGCCTCGAAAACAAGTTTCATTTTCTTTCAAAAATAATCGATTATATTCGGATTTTATTGATTAGAAAAATAAGTTCATTATAATCCATTTTTAATCGATTATAATGGATTATTATCGAAATCTATTGAGACAGACCACGAAAAATCAATGTAATCGATTATTATCCATGGAACTCCGGTGTGGGTAATAATGATTTATAGACGCAACTTCATCAAGCTGTGATAACTACAAGCGGATCAATACAAGAAAGGCCAAATTTCAGGAAAGCCACAATCTTTTTTTCAAAAAAAAAGACAATACAAGGACCACACAAATCATAAAACTGATATGCATGAAGGCGAGTAAACGTCTGTAATTGCTTCTCGTATCAATCCAAAGAAAAAACTTATTCTGTTAAATAGTTTTACGTTTCTGCAAGAGCGGAAATACTACAACAATAAACAAAATTTACCTCCATTTTGATTTCTAGCAAATACCCTAAAAGAGGACCCATAAGGAAGTTAAAAATAAGCTAAGTTTTTCCAGAA